TAGTAAGATTAGATAGATACATTGATAATCATTAGATATAAGACATATAGATATATTAGATATAGACATTATAGATAGTATATATATAACATATATTATATATATTATATATAGACATATATATATATATTATAATATACATTTTAATATATTATATTATGATAGATACATTAGATATATATTATAGATATGACGTATAGATATATATTATAGATAGACATATATATATATCTTAGATATAGACCATATAGTAGATAGGATCGATATACAGATAGATAGAGTATATAGATACATATAGAAGATTTATATATAGACATATATATATATTAGATTATACAGTATAATAGATATGATATAAGACAGAATTATATATATATAAAGAATATATATTACGAGAGATACATAGTATATGATTATTATATAGATACAGTAGAATATATCTATATATACAATATATTATCTGAGATAGAGACAATATAATAGAGATAGTGAATATACCCTATATATATACATAATTAGAGACATACGAGACGTACAGATATAGAGATATATACTATTATATGAAGATATAGATAAGATATATATAATATTATAGAGATAGATATTTATACATATATCTATAGATAGAAGATGTAGACATATATATGATAGAGATATATAGAGAATTATAGATATGGAGGAAAGTAGATAGATATATAGATAGAGATTGTAGAAATAGAGAGAGTATAAAGTATAGATATATAATAGATATAGATAATAGTGATAGAGAGAATGAATATGTGATAGCGATAGCAGAATAGTAATATAGATAGAGAGATAGATAGATAGATGTATAGAGATAGAGATGAGGTATATAGATATGAGATACATATATATGAAGATAATATATATAGAGAGCGAGAGATATATAATTGGGTAATTTTTATACGTCTATATATATATATCTATACATAGTATAATATTAATATATACATATATAGAATTAGATAGGAGACATATTTAGAGATATATCGATATTATATATATTATAAGCGACCTAGGATATGTATATAGATAAAGTAGTATATATATAGATAGATACTACAGAGGATCTATAGAATTAGATATACAGAATTATATATAGATAGAAGACATTATTATATATATACTATAGAGATACATATTATATATATATAATAGACGATATATAGATATATGATATATACTCTATATCTATATATTGATACAATATATATATAGATATATATATTATACATATAGATATATATTATAGTATATATATATATATATATATATGTATATATATAATATATATATCTATATATAGAATATATATAGATATATATATATATATAATAATATATATACAGATTATATATATATATATATATACATATATATATATATATATATATATATATAGATATATATATAATATATATATAATATGTTATATAAGATATAGATATGCAATATATAGATATATGACATATGTAATATATATATACATAATATGTATATATATATATATATAAGAGGTATATAGTATATAATCTGTATATATATATATAATATGGATATAATTATATATATAATTATAATATATATATATATAATTATATAGGGATATAGATAATTATATATAGGTATATATATAATATATGATATATGCTATATATATAATATAATATATATATATATATATGTATATATATAATATATATATATAATTATCCGGATATATATATATATGTATATGTATATGCTAGGCTATAGTATATATATATAATATATATAATATATTATATATCTATATTATATACAATATACATCTATACATATATACATAAAATATAGACATTATACATATATACAATATACATAATATATATAGACATATATACATATTACAATATAACATAGATACACATATATACATATATATATACATATATAACATATTAGACATAATATATATACATAGAGTACAGATATACATCTAGCATATATACAATTATACAGATAATACATAGATATACAGATATTATACAGAGATAGCAAATAGAGATACATATATATACATACATGATATACATACATATATATAACAAACATATATGTACAACACATATATATGATATAGTATATTTATGTGTAGAGATATATATATATATCTATATAATATATAATATAATATATAAATATATATCTATATATGTATATATGTATATATGGAGGTATATGTATATTGTATATGTTTATGGTATATGTATATATATTATATATATATATATATATATATATATGTATGTTTATATTATGTAATATATATGATATATAATATATATATATATATATGTATGTATGTAATAATAATATATATATCTATGTTATTATATATATATTCAACACATTATCAAAAATGTAATATTCAGGTTAAAAATAGCAATAAGCTAAAAATGTTTATCTACCACTCATGTTAAGAATATCTCAAAGGTGATCTAAAAAATCCTTTATGTCCAGGGCTTCTTGCGAATTCCCACGAATCCCGAATGAGTTTGCACTTTTGCACCCACAAACTGGCTATTCAGTTTCGTGTGAAAACATTTCATGCAGAGAAAAGGAATCACTTTAACTCAGGGTAAAATTTAAATGTATAATGTTAATGTATTCACAAGGTTAAGGAGTACAATACCCCAACCAATTTCTTGTCATTACCTTAACAAATGCAGTTTTCTGAACAATTTTCTCTGGTGTTCCTAAAAGTCTTACTTCTTTACTATCTTACAGCTCTGATCAGTCTCCAGTATTACTCCATTGCAGCAATTCGAAATTCAGACTGTTGATTGCAAAAT